TTTAGCATTTGAAATTATTATTATAGCATTTGCAATGATCAATGATCATTTCTTAAATTTGAAATGTAAATTAACAAAAATTGAAAAAAAAAAAATATCAAATAATAATGATTAGAGAGTTTCAAATTATTTTACAAATTAAAAATGTAAATAATAAATTAATTTAAATTCCTTTTTTTAAAACAAAAATATAAATTAATTTAAATTCCTTTTTTTAAAACAAAAATATAAATTAATTTAAATTCCTTCTTTTAAAAACAAAAATATAAATTAATTTAAATTCCTTCTTTTAAAAACAAAAATATAAATTAATTTAACATTTCTTATATTTTCAAAAAAATATCAAATAATAATGATTAGAGAGTTTGAAACTATTTTATAAATTAATTTAAATTCCTTTTTTTAAAACAAAAATATAAATTAATTTAAATTCCTTCTTTTAAAAACAAAAATATAAATTAATTTAAATTCCTTCTTTTAAAAACAAAAATATAAATTAATTTAAATTCCTTCTTTTAAAAACAAAAATATAAATTAATTTAACATTTCTTATATTTTCAAAAAAAATATCAAATAATAATGATTAGAGAGTTTGAAACTATTTTATAAATTAATTTAAATTCCTTTTTTTAAAACAAAAATATTAATTATTTTAAATTCTTTCTTTTAAAAACAAAAATATAAATTAATTTAAATTCCTTTTTTTTAAAACAAAAAGAATTAACTAATTTAAATTCTTTTTTTGAAGCAAAAATATTAATTAACTTAAATTTCCTTTTAATGAAAGGTGAAAAATGAAATTTTATATAAAAAATGATTTCACACGAAAGTATGTTAAAATTGCAAATAAATAAATTTATTATAAAAAAGTTTTTTTTTTATTTTTTGAAATTTTTGAAAAAATATTCTAATTGGTGCTATTTTGTCTTTTTTTTTCCTAATCAATAACGAATGTTATTCTCGAGAAAAAGAAAAAACAATTGTCAAAGTCTCGAGAATGATAAGATTAAATTTAAATTTCATTTTTCACTCTTCTCACATAGCTTCGAGTTTTCAAATTTTTTGCATTCATTCTAATATTTCAAATTTTGTAAATATATCTAAAAGTTTTTCAAAAAATTTTCAAACAAAAAAAAAATTTTTTACTTTAATAAAAAACAAAAGAATAAAATATAAATGTTTTTTACTTATTTATATATAATAAAATTATCTTTTATCAATTGATCTTTTATCGATTATTTATATAATAAAATTATCTTTTATCAATATTTTAATTCTAAATGAAAAGTTTTTTTTTTTCTTTCTTTCTAATTTTTTATGAATTTATTAAAATTTCATATAAATTTAATAATTAAAAAAAATAATTAAAATTTGTTGAAAAAAAAAAAAAAAAAACTACAAAAGGATTATTAAAAATTTTGTTGCATTCATATTTGGATTAAATTTTAATCAAATAGAAATAATAGCTTTTTCTTTTTTTACTAATCTTTCTTCAACTGACAGTTAAAATTTTAATTTTAAAACTTTGCTTAAAAATTAATTATTATTTACTAATTTATAAAATGCAAAAATTAATTATTATTTATTAATTGTTTAAAAATTTTAAAAAAAAATAAAATAAAAATTCTTAGTTTTTTTTGCTAATCTTTCTTCATTGACAGTTAAAATTTTAATTTTAAAACTTTGCTCAAAAATTAAATATTATTTATTAATTTATAAAATACAGAAATTAAATATTATTTATTAATTGTTTAAAAATTTTAAAAAAAAAATAAAATAAGAATTTTTAATCTTTTCTTTTTATTAATCTTTCTTCACTAACAGTTAAAATTTTAATTTTAAAACTTTGCTCAAAATGCTAATTTTGCAAAAATTAAATATTTTTTATTAATTTATAAAATGCAAAAATTAAATATTATTTATTAATTCGATTTAAAAATTTAAAAAAAACAAAAAATAAAATAAAAATAAAAATTTTAAGCTAAGCGCACATACAATCATAAATTAATCGTTTATTTGCTGTAATAAATAAATTTTATACATTGGAATGTAGTCTGAATAATATTTATCCAAAAAAAAAATAAATAAATTTTTTTTTTTTTTTTTTTAAATGAATTTTTTTTAGTTTTTTATTTTATTATTTTTGCTAACATAAATGATTATTTCATCGCGTGTGAAATTAAATTGAAATTAGAAAATTTTTAATGTAAAAAATATATGCAAAAAAGTGCTTCGCTCTCTTTTTTTTTTTTTTTGAATAAAATTTTTTGAATTTTTTTTTTTTTTTTTTTTTTTTTGAATAAAAATAAATTTAAACATTTAGTTTATTGCAAAAATTCCAAAAAGAAAAAAAAATGAATGATAAATTAATTACATTAATTGCAAATTGTAATGCATTTGCATGCAAAATGCATGCCTAATAATTTTTATTATCATTTATTGTCGAAAAAATATTATCAAAATTATCAATAATTATCACATTGATTGCAAATTGTAATGCAATTGCATGCAGAATGCATGCCTAATAATTTTTATTATCATTTATTGTCGAAAAAATATTATCAAAATTATCAATAATTATCACATTGATTGCAAATTGTAATGCAATTGCATGCAGAATGCATGCCTAATAATTTTTATTATCATTTATTGTCGAAAAAAATTTTCAAAAATTATCAAAATTATCAGAAAAAATTTTTGTAACAATAAAATTTATCATTTCAAAGCTATCCTTGAATATGAAATTATTGATTAGTTACAAAGTTATTATTAAAATATATTTTATATAATAATAAATGATCAAAAGAAAAAAAAAAGGGCGGAAATGTCGCGAAAAATAAGGCAAAAAATAATTGGACAACAAGTAGAGCATTTGCTTATTTGCATTGTAATCTTATTGTATTAGTAATTTGCTTTTTATTCTAATAAGCTCTTTTTGCTTCTTTCACTTTTATTTTTTCATTTTGTTAAATAAATATTTTTACATTTTTTGTATAATAATAAATGATCAAAAGAAGAAAAAGGGGCGGAAATGTCACGAAAAATAAGGCAAAAAATAATTGGACAACAAGTAGAGCATTTGCTTATTTGCATTGTAATCTTATTGTATTAGTAATTTGCATTTTTATTCCAATAATCTCTTTTAGCTTTTTTCACTTTTATTTTTTCTCACTTTAATCTTTTAAATAATTCAAAATTTCAAAAAACACAATAAAATTGTATGGCAATTTAAAATCAATATTTAATGAAACATTTAATGAAATTCTATTTTTAATTCTCGAATTTATTTTTTTTTTTTTTTTTTGATTCTCGAACTTATTCGATGACATCGTATTCAAAATTTCAAAAAAAAATAAAATTGTATGGCAAATTAAAACCAATATTTAATGAAATTCTATTTTTAATTCTCGAATTTTTATTTTTTTTTTTTGATTCTCGAACTTATTCGATGACATTGTTTATGATAATTAGCTTTTTTTTTTTTTTGAAATAAATTATAAATTCATCTAACTTTTGAAAGCATATAGCTAAAAAAATTTTTTTTTTTTGAAATGTATTTATTGATAAATATATTTATATATCAAATTAACTTAATTAAAATATGTTAGCTTATAAATAATTAGCATTCTATTTTTAATTCTCGAATTTTTATTTTTTTTTTTTGATTCTCGAACTTATTCGATGACATTGTTTATGATAATTAGCTTTTTTTTTTTGAAATAAATTATAAATTCATCTAACTTTTGAAAGTATATAGCTAAAAAAAAAAAATTTTTATTGATAAATATATTTATATATCAAATTAACTTAATTAAAATATGTTAGCTTATAAATAATTAGCTTAGCGTTTGTTATTTGTATGCTAAAAAAAAAATTGTTGTCCAAGCTTTGATGTTTTCTAAAGATTGAAATTTGATTAAATTAAATTTTACTAATTTAACAGTGATGGAAAAAGAAAAAAGGGCGTTGACTTAAAAGATTAAATATTGATTTTTCTTTTTTTTTTTTTTTTTTAATAAAATATGCAGCTAAGAGAGTAAATGTAAACATCGAATGCTTCAAGCAAAAAAAGAAAAAAGAAAAAACCGATTTATTTAAAGTAAGCTATTTTGCCTTTAGCTAATAATAGTTTTTGTTTATGATAGACGGAATGTGAAAATTAATTTATTTAAATATTTTTAATTGTTTTGTTTTTTTTTTAATTTGGTTTGTTTGTTTTTTTTTTTTCATTTATGAAAAGTTTGTTTAAATTTAAATGTTTTAATTAATTGATTTAAATTTTTAATCGAATGATTAGAAATTTTTAAATGATTTAATCAATTTTGCCTTTAGCTAATAATAGTTTTTGTTTATGATAGACGGAATGTGAAAATTAATTTATTTATATATTTTTAATTGTTTTGTTTTTTTTTTAATTTGGTTTGTTTGTTTTTTTTTTTCATTTATGAAAAGTTTGTTTAAATTTAAATGTTTTAATTAATTGATTTAAATTTCTAACCGATTTAATCGATTGATTTAAATTTTCAATTGATTTTAGGTTAGATTTATTATCACTCATTTATCATTTGAATAATAGGAAATGGTTTGATAAAATTATGATTTGAATTCAAATTTTTAAATGATTTAATTGATTGATTTAAATCTTTAAATGATTCAATCCATTGATTTAAATTTTTAATTGATTTTAGGTTAGATTTATTATGATTTGAATAATAGGAAGTGGTTTGATAAAATTATGAATTGAATTCAAATTTTTAAATGATTTAATTGATTGATTTAAATCTTTAAATGATTCAATCCATTGATTTAAATTTTTAATTGATTTTAGGTTAGATTTATTATCATTTGAATAATAGGAAATGGTTTGATAAAATTATGATAACGACAAAAATGCTTTATCAATTTAATCAATTTCAAAATTCTTTTTTTTTTTTCTGTTTCCATTTCTGATTGCAGAATGAAATGAATTTTTATTGAGATATGATCACAATATCACTGATATGTTTCGTATCAGTAATTTCTCGAAAATTATCAGTGATAAAGATGACAACAAAATGGTCAAATTATTGATGCGAGGAAATTCGACAACCGAATTTCCTGGAAGGTTGAATTTATCACTGTTTACTGATCTATAACTTTTGGAAAAGTTAAATTACTGCTTTATTTTCTGATAAAAATGATAAAAAAAAACTTTTTTGGTAATTATTATCACTTTCTTATCAGTTTTTATGAATATAATTGGCTGAATTTATCACTGTTTACTGATTCTATAACTTTTGGAAAAGTTAAATTACTGCTTTATTTTCTGATAAAAAATATTAGAAATTTAATAGAAATGATAAAAAATTATCATTTTTTTAATTATCATCTTCTTATCAGTTTTTATGGATATAAATTTGTTGCAAAATTAATGAAAATTTTTCATACAATATTTTATAAGAAGTAAAATATTGTTACTTTTTTATTAATTAAAAAAGTTACTAAATTAAAATTGAAATTTTAATTGTTTCAATAATAACAGAAACAATTTCATATTTAATTTCATTAAATATTCATAGAAATAATAAAATTTTCAAAGAAATTTTACAAAAATTTTTTAAACGAAATTAATAAATTATCAATTTAAGTAACTTTTAAGTAAAATTTTTAATTAATAATTAATACATTCAAAAATTTTATCATAATTTTCTTACAAAGTATTAAAGTTAATTTGTAAGTAATCAGAAGATATTAGTCAGAATAATTACAGGTTAATTTGTATTTTGCCAAAAGTTTTAAATTGCTGTGGCAGAATAAATTGTGGTACTTAAATTGTGGTAAACAAAAAAGTGTAAACAAAAAAGTGTAAACAAAAGACTCTCAAAAATTTGTAAAATTAATTTTAAGTTTTAAATTATTTAATAATGCATTATTCACTTATTCAAATAATTTATAATTTCACAGTGTCATTGTAACTATTATAATAAATATTTAAAATTTAAAAAAAAAAAATTAAATTAAAATTAGAAATTGCAACTTTGAATAATTTCTATATTAAATTAAATTTATTAATTCAAATAAATAAGATATAAAATCTTTTTTTTAATTAATTAAATTTAATTAATAATTAATTTAACAATTAATTATTTGTAAAAAATTGCAGGCAAGCATTAGTATCACGATATTCATCATTTGTTATTCTTGGATTAATTGTATTATTTATTATTGTCGCATACATTCAGCATCTTTACGTGAAATACGAGACACGTGTTCGTTCCAGACGTAGAAAACGTCATAAACTTATAGTATGTTTATTATTTATTTCCATTTAGCATATCTTATATCAGTTTATCAGTTTATATCAATTTATCCATTATTATTCTAACAATTATAAATTTCCTCTTTTTGTTTTTTTTTTTTTTATAATTTCAATTTTATATTTTATATCAGCTTATCAGTTTATCAGTTTATGTCAGTTTATCAGTTCATATCAGTTTATCCATTTTTATTCTAACAATTATAAATTTTCTTTACTTGTTTTTATCAGTTTATATCAGCCTATCCATTTATATCAGTTTCTATCAGTTTATCAGTTCATATCAGCTTATCCATTTATATCAGTTTCTGTCAGTTTATCAGTTTATATCAGCTTATCCATTTATATCAGTTCCTATCAGTTTATCAGTTTATATCAGCCTATCCATTTATCAGTTTATATCAGCTTATCTATTTATATCAGTTTCTATCAGCTTATCCATTTATCAGTTTTAATCAGTTTATCAGTTTGCATCGGTTTACCTATTTATCAGTTTATATCAGCTTATCAATTTATCAGTTTATTATATCAGCTTATCAGTTTATATCAATTTATCCGTTTTCATTTTAACAGTTACAAATTTTCTTTCTTTTTTTTTTTGTCTATAATTTCAGCTCAAAGAATGCAGTTAATAGATTATTGATAAAATATTTTGTGATAAAAGATAAATAATTGATTGATATTGATATGATTATCAGTTGATACGATTATAAATTTTACTTATTCAACTTATTTTGATATTTCAATTTGTATTAATATAATTAATATCAAAGTTTAGCAATTTTTTTTTGCACAACGTTTAGTAATAAACAAATTTTTGAAAAATTAATTTTAAAAAAAAAAAAAAATGTTAAAATTTTTTCATTTCTTTTTTGAAATTATGCTTATCGATGTGTTAAATTTTCAAATGATACTTTAATGCATCAATAATTAATGTAATTTTTTTATTTTTTATTTTTTTTTTTTTTTTGGTAAATTAAATTAAAATTAAAAAATTGAAAGATGAAGAATGATGAGCAGTTGGTGATATCCAAAATAATATACATAAAGTCAATTTTGTAATTTTAAAATTGAAAAAAAAAATTTTTTGTTTTTCTTTTTTTGTTGCTATCAAATTTGTTGTAAAAAAAAAAAAAAAGTTTGAATCAATAAATTGATGATATTTTAATAAAAATTTCTTTTTGTTTATTTGACAAACTTTTCAGATTTTCAAAAAAAAAAAAAAAAAATGAAATTAAAAAATGAAAATTATAGTAACTAATATTATACATTTTTTTTTTAAAAAAAAATTGAAAAAAATAAAAAATTCAAAAGTTTGATAAATTCATATTTAATCATTAAATACTTTTGGAACTTTTAAAATGCTTATCATTTTACTTTTACTCAAATCTTTTCAGGTTTTTTCTTTTTTGGTTTCCTATATAGTAACTAATCTTCAATTTGCTTTTTACTAGCTATTCCGGAAAACCGTAAATTAAATTCAAATCTGAACGCATATACAAAATGTATAAATTACACAAATTTATTAGCTATGAGATAAAAGAATCAATAATTTATAGCCAAATTAGACTTTGAAAGAAATGGAAAACTGAATGCTGGGCCATTTTAGGCTCTTTAAAGTGTAAAATGTAAAGAGTACATAGCCAGAAAACAAGCTGCTGTCCCCAGTCTCTTGCAAATAGACCAGTCATTCCCTGTTGAATTGATATAAGTAAAGAGTAATGTAAGTAAGTAAGTAAATATAAAGTAAACATTACACTGAAAATATTTGAAAAAAAAAAAAGTGTAAAAAATAAATTAATTTCAAAGTTTTTTAAAATTTTCCATGCTGCAAGTTGTGACACATTTCTTTATAAAGGTGACAATGTTTAATTACTTATTACTGATTTGATAATAAAAAGTAAATAACTTAACTGCTGAATACTTTTCTTAATAAATAAACAAACAATCAACATCAAACCTTAGTGTGTTACGTCGAGTAACAAACGTATCACGTACGCTTCCATTCCACGTATTCTAAAATAGTAAGTCAACTTGAACAAACCAATAATTTCAGGTGATTATCAGGAACTCTCAGATAATTAATAGTTGCAGCGATGATCAAAGAAAATTTGAGAGAGTTTTAATTTGTTGAAATTATCTCAAACTGAGAGACTCTTCCACTATTTGAAATTGTTGAATTTAAATTTGTTAAATTTATTCCAATCTTCGAACGCTCATTTAAAAGTGTAAAATTGATTGATCAAAGTGATAATGGCATCGATTGATCGATCGATCGATCAATGTTGCTTGAATGGCTGAATTGGTGAATGATCTGATTGATCTGATCGATCAATGTTGCTTGAATGGCTGAATTGGTAAGTGATCTGATTGATCGATCGATCAATGTTGCTTGAATGGCTGAATTGGTGAGTGATCTGATTGATCTGATCGATTGATAGATCGATCAATGTTGCTTGAAAGGCTGAATTGGTGTGTGATATGATTGATCTGATCGATCGATCGATGAATGTAGCTTGAATGGCTGAATTGGTGATCTGATCTGATTGATCTGATCGATCGATCGATCAATGTTGCTTGAATGGCTGAATTGGTGATCTGATCTGATTGATCTGATCGATCAAACATTACTTACTGTTATCAACTGATACTCAAAATTACTTCCTTCTTGGCTCCGTCTATTACTTTTTGGCTCAAAATTTTTCATTTCCATTTTGCTATAGAATTGTTTATTATTTCAATGAAAATTAAATTTGTATATCGCATCGCTACTGCTAATGAAAAGCTTTTTAGATTCTGAAATTCAATCAAGTTTTGAAGACTCATTAATGAGCTGCTAATTTTAAGTGGTTTTAGCTAATTAAATTTATTTTAGCTCAATAAATCAGTATGACTCACACAATTTTTCAATTCATTCTGATAATGTTTACACTTTAGATGTAAACATTTTCGAGCATTAGTTCAACTTTAGAATTTTACTTCAATAAAATTAACAAACAATTTCGCGGGCAAAACTTGTTTGCCCAAAAAATATGTAAAATCAATATCAATGAAGCATTTTTTTTTAATTTTTGGGCAAAATAATGCTTGAAATTGAATATTTGGGTTTAAATTCTTCGTAATTAAATCTGTTAGGAATTTAATTTTAATTATAATTTAGTTCAGTTTATCATATAAACTGTTTTCCATATATTAAATTATTAATAAATTTGCAAAAAAAAAAAAAAAAAGACAAATCAGTCAAAAATAAATTTTGTAAAAAGTAATAAATAAATTTGTTTTTGAATTTAACAAATTTATTATGGCATATTAAATTTCATTTTGAATTTAAATTACCATTGCTAATTACAACAATTGCAAACAATTTAAATTAGTTATAAAAATTAAATATATTATTTGATATACAATAATGTCTTATATTTTTCTCATCAAATATTATTTTTATTGCTAAACTCATTAATTAAATTCACATTTGTTTATTGTTTACAATCAGAGATTAATTTAAGTTAGTAATTAATAAACAACAATTGCATTCACTCATAAATATTACATACATCCATAAACAATGCTATAATTAAAATAATTTTTAAAAAGATTATAATTAAATTAAATAAAAATAAAATAAAATAATTGAATAAATCAATAAGAAATATATATTAAATTCAATTTATACAGATATCAGCAATTCAGAATATAATTCATTCCTGAAATCTGCAACTAAATACGGAAAATTCTGCCGGATATAATTGAAATTAAATTATTAAAAAATGATTTGTTTTGATGTTGAAATGATAAATTAAAAGAAATCAAAGTAGCAAAACATAAACATCTAATGAAGAAGAAGCAAAATTGTCATTTCATATGTTATTTACTAATTATCATTCTCATTTAACATAATTATCAAATTTTAATTTTATGTCTTTTTTTTAATTAATTAATTAAACTCTGAAAAAAATAAATGAAATGATGTTTACTTTGTTTACAATAATGTTTACTTTGTTTACAATAATGTTTGCTCTGTTTACTATAATGTTAACTTTGTTTACTTATAATACTTTTAAAGTGAATTATTTTGATTGATTAATTTGATCATTTATTCAAATTTTCATTAAACAAAACAAAGAAATCATTTCAACTTTTTTCAGCTATTAATTATAAATAAATTTTTAGTTTTGTTTACGAAAGTACAATTTTCATTTGCTTTATAATAAGTAAATATATGCTTATTTCTATTTATTTATCATTAATTTGCTTATTTTTTCCACCTTTTGGCTTCAATTTGTTTATAAAAATAAACAAATAACTCATCCATGCGTTGGTTTTATTGTTTGTTTATTTATCTATTTGAAATAAAGATGAAAAATTGCAAAATTTCATTTTTTATAATAAGTGAATATATGTATATTTCTATTTATTCATCATTTATTTGCTTATTTTTTCCATCTTTTAGCTTCAGTTTGTTTATAAAAATAAACAAATAATTCATCTATATGTTGCTTTTATTGTTTATTTATTTATTTATTTGAAATAAAGATGAAAAATTGCAAAATTTCATTTTTTATAATAAGTGAATATATGCATATTTCTATTTATTCATCATTTATTTGCTTATTTTTTCCATCTTTTAGCTTCAGTTTGTTTATAAAAATAAACAAATAATTCATCTATATGTTGCTTTTATTGTTTATTTATTTATTATTTGAAATAACGACGGAAAATTGCAAAAAACAGAAAGCATTCATTGATTCATCATAAAATGTAAACAACTTTTTTTTCATAGGCTCAATCCATTCCCTCTTTTAATTTACTTTTAGTAAAACATTCAATTTTAATAAATTTTTTTTTTGTGCAAACAAATTCAATTGCATTTTAAATGACCAAAAATTGTCACAGCTAATGTCGCTTCATCGATATACAAATTTGTTTAATTTCCTTCTTAATCCTTTCAGTTTTGCTAGTTTGCAATATTATTGCAATTATTAATATTTCAACAACAAAAAAAAAAAAAAAATTTAACAAATTTTAAAAATTTTAATAGCTTAATCCATCATATTAAATATATTTATAATTGTAGGTAAATAATTTTTGCAGGCAAAAAAAATGTAAATTGCTAAAGAAATGAATGAATTATTTAGAACAATAATTTATTGCACAATTTGTTTGTTTGTTTGTTTATTTATTTACTCATTTTTGATTTCAATTTTGTTGAAAAAAATTTCATATTACCCTAACAATTAGTCTATTTTTGTGTTATTAGAATCATTAATTTAAATTTACAGTAATAACAGAAAAATAAACACCATTTTGTTTATTTTTTCTTTCATTTTGTTTATCATCTTGTTTGTTTACTTTTTCCTATTTTTCGTTTTATAAATGCTTTAGAGAAGATTTAGATACCTTTGTCAAATTATTTTAAAAGTAATAAATTTTTATCTAAATAATTTGTCATCAATGTATAAAAAAAAGTTTTTTTTTTTTTTTCATTAATAAATATTTTTTTTTTTTTTGCTTATTTTCTTTTTTAGAAAAATAAATTTTTTCTTTTAAAGTTGTTTTAATTTAATTAAAACTTATTAAAATTTTAGGCATTTTTAAATTTAAATTTTTTGTCTTCTTACCATCAAAAAAAATA